GTAAACCTTTATGAATACTTTTAAATAAGCCCAACCATCCTGTGAATTCTCCATTTCCCCTTACCAACTCTCAGCTTCTTTTATATATATATACTTAATTTGATTGGGTGAACTGACATTGTCAATCTGCAATCCAATAACATGTTTGATGGCTACTCAGAAGAGAGTCTAGTTAATTTTTGGAAGTGCTGTTATGTAAATAAATATTCTTGCTGAGCGCTGAGCGCTGAGCCAAGACATTTGCTGATTAATCAGAGTTTTGCCCTTGTCTTCTGCAAGAATAAACCTTGAAATGTCAAGAGATACTTTAATGCTTTTAAATGGCAAGAACACACCCACACTTTTTTTGGTCAGCCAGTAAGTGAAAATTCTGAATCTAATCACACTATACAATCTTTGTGGTATGCAGTAGGGCCAAATATCCATCAAGGCTTGCTTTTTCTTATCAAGTAAGGTATTTCATTTTTTTTCTTTTAGTAGATTATTGTTTCTTCACCACTGTTTAAATAGGCTAGTTCTTTTGCATTTCCAGGTGTTAATCCACTGTTTTACAAAAAAGAAATATGTTAAATAGAATCCATTTTGCTGATAATGAATGAGATTATATCAAGATTCTAATTGGGAGGATCTGATTAGATTTTAATGAGCTTGCCTTAGGGTGAATGCAGGGCATGAAGAGAATAGTTGCCATAAATAATCTCCATGACCTATTCCAGCTATTCCTTAGTTATAAAGGTAAAAACTATTACTGTTTATGACGATCAAGTAATGGAATACAATATTGCAGATTTTGATACTTTTCCTTTAAATGAAGGGAAATAATTTTGCTTTTCTGATAATAATATGAATACATACATACATACATACATACATACATGTGTGTGTGTGTATAAGGAAGGAAGAAAGGAAAGGAGATTCCATTTCATTCTTTCATAATCTTAGTGCTGTGCTTTGAAGAAATTGTAATATTTCTGATGTATGAACAGTTTAATTTTCTGTTCTCAAATGTACTTTATGAAATGGACTCAGAAATGGACTCATATCAATGGAATGTACATTTTAGTAGATTGGCTCATATTATACAGAGCAGTTGCAATGGGAAGACTAAGAGGTGTAATACGATCTGTGCATTTTGTGATGTAATTATTTGTCATGATAAAGTTACAGAGAAGCCAAAAAAGTCCACAGTCGACAGAAAATCTTTGTATGTGCGTATGGAGTCATCTGCAATGGGAATAGCTTATAAATATTCAAGAACATTGATATTTTAACATTATTATGTTACAATGTTGGACTATTAATATTGAAAAGTGAAGATTTTATTTTAGATTTATTTAGTTAGGAATGCAGTAGATCACTTTCTGCTTTTTTGTAAAGTCAGCAACATTTCCTAAATTTTCAAAAAATTAACAGTGTTCTGTTCAACTTATACTATGTTTTCAGATGAAAAAAATAAAATAAAATAAACTCCACAATTCCCATATTATACTAATCATAGTGAGCTAACCCAGCTGCTGTTCATTAAGTGAAATCAGTATGTTGATAGAAGACTAGGAAATTTACATTTAAGGTGTCAGAAATCAGTCTTTTTTAAAGTCTGTAGTGTAATCATATTTAGAAGATATTTATATGTTTAGCATATCCACAAATGACTCCAGCAAGATTGAGAATTCCATTGTTCAGAAGTCCTAGGTCTGAAAATTTAGTCATAATGATTAAGTTGGTCATGTTAGAATGGCTGGAATCTATATCTTTAATATAACTGTTGTTCAAACCTAAAACAACATCCGAAATCTTCCCATTCACTGAAGATTCCCTCCCAGATTTCCATAAATAAATAAAGAGATGTTTTGCCACTAATATTTTTATCTTAACTTTCTTTTACCACCACCCACTCCCCATCACGCAAAAAGGGCTTGGAGGACAATTATCTTCCCTAAGTTCAAGATCCTCGACAGGACAGGACACTGTAAATGGCCCCAATCCGTGGTTAGCTTTTATGCAAATTTTACAGCATTCTCTGATGTTGTACTAAAAAGATCAAAGTGGGTATAATTGAATGATGGCTTTTTTAAAAAAAAATAGTCTGCTTGCAATAGGTCACAGTGTTAATGTATTTAAAGAAATTCTTTGTTGGTTTTAGAATTGTGCCCAATACAGAGCTAATATGGTAATCATTGTAGTTTCTACTTTGTGCATAGATGTTTCCTATCGTGAAACAGGTTAAATTATTCTTAGCACATCTTTTAGAGTACTGATATCTATTTTCATTTTGTTTTAATAAATGATTTCTATACAGTATCCTGCATATTCATGAATATTTAAGTGTGAACTGGCAATCATCACAACTTCTTAATCATAAATAAATAAATATTTATTTATTATTTACTTTATTCATTAAACATGAAACTCAGTCAACTGAACATTCAAGAATGCATCACAAATACCATTGACTGGTGCTAATGGTTGATACGGGTTGCTGCCAGCATCCTAGGTATCAACCATTTATTATTATTATTATTATTATTATTATTATTATTATTATTATTATTATTATTATTATTATTATTATTATTTAGGAAACACAGTTTCCTAATGGACCTAAGAAAACATTTTTAAGATGTGATAGCACTGGTGTAGGCCACAACAAAAAGCATCCGTATGGACAAAGCACACTTTGCATTGTTTTATAAAACTGCTACATAATGTGTTTTGCAGTTATTTCAAACATTATGCAAAAAATCAACATCCTTTTTAATCATCTGTTTGTACTGAATTATCTGCCAGATACATATTGTTGAAATACCATCATTAAAGCTGTCAGTTTATCAGAATATGAGAAATATTTATGAAATAAATATTGAAGATTTGGAGTTGCTTCACTGTTAATCTGACAAGAGTATTTCAACAGAAGATAAAGCAAATACAAATTACTATGAGATGTATTAATTTATTATTAAAAAATATTATTTTCTTGCAAATAGGAAGGTGGAATACATCCATAAGGGAGACAGTAATAAGAATTATTAACTGTTTTAATATGCTAAAATCTCTCAAACTTTGCCCTTTACTTGAATTAATAAGGAACTTATTTAAATAATAGTTATAATTTTAATTTTTTGGGAATGGGTGTTTTCCTGTTTCAATTCCAGCTGTTCCTTTGTGCTGCTTACTTTATTATCCTTTAATGTTTCAGACATTATTTTTTATAATACTTAACTTTTTGCATTACTTTCAGTAGATCATAATACTGATCAGAATCGCTAAAATCAAAGGCCTATCATGTAGCATTTAATATTCTAGTGTCACTAGTGATGAACATGAGTAGAAAGTTAAAACATCTTCTCTGTGAATATTTCACAACTAGGGGAAGTCCTGAAGTACTTACATATGTTTAGAAACGTCATTTTGAAAACAATAAAGCATTGTTATGTGTACCATTTGTGTGCCTGTCTCTCTGTCTGAGAAAACAATTACAGCTACCAAAAGGAATTGGTGTAGACTAGATGACTAGTATAAATTGAATTAGTTTGACAAGGACATTTGGGGTGGGAGCTGAATGGACCATCAGCCTGATGGAAAACAGAAGAAAGCTCTTGGTGACCCAGATGACCTAACATGTCAGTGTGGGTTTTCTGTGTGGTGCTCTCATTCAGAGCCAAAATGCTTATTATTCAATAAAATCAATTTGATTGAGGTTCATGGCACAATAGAGAATTCACTTTCAAAGGGGGAGAAATTCCACAGAGTGCATTCTAATGAATGCTACTTAACTGGAATGTCTGAACAATGTATACATCTCTTAAAAAGCATATTAAGTTTGGATAGTATCTATTGTCCTTGATTTCCATGCAGTATCCCGCAATTTTATAAAATTGAGCATTACCAATGCTTGTTAATAATAGTGATGCAATTTTCTTCATTTTGCCATATATTTGAATACTTATTTTGTGCTTTTCTAAGCTATTGCTTGTGACTATGGTATTCCACAAAGGATAGAGAAAATAATATGAAGCATATTATCTTTTTAAATGAAAGAACATATAATAATAATAATAACCCTTAATCATTTTAGGACTTACTGACATTCTTACTATTCTTCTGTTCATGGGTATTGGCACAAAATATTTGTGAATGTATTGATTGTGCTTTAGACAATATTAATTGCAAGGAGGTGGGGGTGGGAAATATTTTGTCAGGTTCACATTCTGATTAGAAAGTTCATAACTGCCAAACCAGAATATAACTTTCCATTATATTTGTATTCTGTAATGGAGTTCACCAAATGAAGGACTTCTGAAAAAGTAGCCACAAAAATATGTAGCTTCATGGAGATTTCTTCCTGTAGATATAACATAAAATAAACCCAGCAAAAGAAGAGGAGAAATTTGATTCTTAGTTATTTCTTTAATTTACAAGAAAGATGGAATAGAGTATGAGGATTTTTATGAAATTGCTTGCTTTAATAAATCTTCAGTTTGCAGTTATGGCGTTATCTGCAACTACCTTAAGTGATTTTGAACTAATAGGTAGAGATTGCAATGTAATCTATATACTAATAGTATTTCTTCTTATTTTATCCTTTCTACTGTATTTTAGTTACTTATTTTCTCTCTTATTTTCAGTTTCAGGTGTTTATTGCCATATTTCAGATAATAAAGAAATGAACTGTTAGAAATACAGACTTTAAAAAGAACATTTAAATCATTTCAGGGCAATTGGGTGCAATATTTTTTTTAAAATGCATAAAAGTAATAGTAGTTGGTACACAGTAGTTAACAGTCCAACAATTTTTTTTGTCGTTTATGAAAATATAAAATTCTGCATAGCTACCATTTCAGTGCATGACCTCGTAAAAGTATGTTAACATTTTCATTATTCCTCCTCTTCATATCACAGGAATTTGTAATTATAAACACGCCTTTATGTCAATATTTTTTCTTAAATTCAGTCACTTTCAATAAGTTCATAATATTTGTTTCTTTATTTGTTATTTTTAGGGACTTAAGTGAAAACCAGATTCAAGGCATCCCTAGAAAGGCTTTTCGAGGAATTACTGACGTAAAGAATTTGTAAGTATTGTCTATAAATAGAATTTGAGCTGAAGCTAAATTCTTTTCATATGCTATTTTATGTATATTGTGTATTTCAGGACAAGATATGCATCTTCGTGTTATACAGAAGTAGTTTTCTTGCTTAGAAATAGGTGGTCACCTTTGACATCCATTCACATCTTGATTAAATATATGTATAGGCTTTCTATGTATTATTTTTCCCTACTGCAGTCTTTAACGTCTATTGAAGAGAACTTGGAGGAAATTGATAATTTAGCTTTGTACTAAACAGGTAGTCCTTGATAAACAACAGTAGTTGGGATCAAAATTTTCATTTGCTAGCAATGCAGTTGTAAATCGCATGACTTCATCATTTAGCAATGGCAATTGTAGCACTTCCCTTTGCCATTGTTATGGAATGATTGCAGGTAATTAAGCAAATTCCAGGTGGCTTGTAAATAGGCCAGCTGGCTGGCAGGTAGGTGGCTGGTGCCAGGTGGGGGAAAATGCCTGGGTGTATCACAAAGTGCAGCATGTGTGCAGTAGAGGTGTGTGTGTGTGTGTGTGTGTGTGTGTGTGTGTGTGTGTGTGTCTGCTGCTGGGTAGGGGAGGCTATGAACGATTCAGCAGAGCAATTTGCAAGCCTCCCTACCACTTCCCCATTGATTTTGTGTCAGATGTAAATGCCTTATTCCCTAATGTGTAAATAATGTATATATGGGATATCGAGGGTTAACTTATTCTTTGTTTTCTAATGTATTCATAATTCACCACTCCCATCCTTGACTCCGCCCTTTGTATATATAAGGAGTCACCCTCACCATTTTCCTTGCTTCTATCTGTGAATATTCAGTGAATATAGAATGCCTGTTATGATTAAAGAGAAATATATTTAAACCTCTAATCATTATTATCATTATTGAGTCTGATCCTAAAAATATTGCAACAAACTGGTAGCAGAGGATGGTTAATTGACTCAATAAATAATTAAAAATGTCTAAGAAAGATAGGCCCAACACCAGGGCCTACAGCAAAGAAATAGAAACTGAACAAGAAATAATCAACGAATCCACAAACGCGATTTCGAGAGAATCCGAAGAGTACACCACAGAAGAAGAAGAACTAATAAATGAAAATAATGACCAGGAGGAAATCGAAATAGAAAATAACGAACTCAGGTCAGAAATATTAAAGCTATTAAAAAGCCAGAAGAATGATGAAAGTCTCATCGCGAATCTCCAAGAAATGCTGAAAAACAGCGGAGCAGCGAGAGAGAAAAACATCGTCAAAGAGAAACACAAAGACCAAAAAACTGTGAGTGATATGACTACAGAGAAAGTCATTATGAAAAAGAAAAGATGTGATACCGCGCGAAATTTTGAATGGCAGCCATCTTGGTTTCAACAAGCCTCCAAAGGGAGCGAAGCAGAGCCAATCAAAATGCTCAGTTCAAAATTTCTGGCGCGAAAAACGTTATCAGACAACGAAAGTGAAAAGGAAGATTCGAAATCTCCAGAAGAACCCGAATCAGAAAGCGAAGACGATTTAACCAAATCCCAAATAAAATCAGCAATGAAGACGCTTTTTGCTGCATTTGGGCCAAAATTAAAAATTTCCAAAGCGCCAACGAAGAAGCGAGAAAGCAAGCCGATACCTCAAGACCTACACGCTCCCATCCTGACTTCGAGAGCGACGACGCCCGAGCCCAGAGAGCCATGCCGATTCCGCCCCACGCCGCAGACCGGATCAAATATCAACGCACACAAGAGAAAGAGAAGAACAGTCGCTGCCATCAGAACTCCCAAAACCGAGCCAGAGACCGACTCGTCTGAAGAGGAGCAGAGCGAACGAGCTGAAATGGAGAGGACCTTCCACGACGATGCCAAAGAAGAAATGAGCAACGCGCATGTGCGAAACCACGTAGACGGTCCGGAAAGACTTGAACTGGCCAGAGAACCACGCAGACTCGTTGCGAGCATCCCCATGCCGTTTTGCAATTTCCTGCACTTGCGAGATCACGGACTACCTCAGGTTGTAAGTAATGGACAAAATAATGTGGGAAATTTACCCAGTGACTTCCCAAAACTTAGAGTTGATGGCATTAATTTGCAAGAGTGGTATCAACAGCTCCAGGTTGTCTTTATGAAAGAAAATTTACTATTCTTTATCACTAGTCCTCCAAGAAGACCTTGGACTTTAAAAATAGATTGTTTACATCATAGAGCATTCTTCTTAATAATATCTAGCGTATCTCCTGCAATGTATCATAGTATCAAACCAAACCTAACTGTCTCAGAAATAATTCAATGCATGTTTAATCTGTTTCACAGCGACAGTGTAGCTACCACTACAAGAATGTCTAAGGATTTCTTTTCTTCTAGAGTAAAACCAGGGGTTTCCATAAGTGAGCATTTGATATCTCTAAACAAAATAAGAGCTGAGCTGCATCTGAGGGGGGAAGTGATTTCAGATCAAACAATGAAAAGTGTTATTATCAATTCACTTGATTCATCATGGGATAGTTTTATGTCACACTTAGACACCATCAATCTAGGATATTTATCCATAGAGAGTCTATCTAACAAATTGATAGCTGAAGACAATTCAAGAAAAAATCGTTCTAGCAATCACACAGAACACAAATCTTTTAGGAAGGTAGCTTTCCAAGAAAAATACAATGAAACTTTTAAATGCCACAATTGTGGGTCCAGGGAACACAATAGAAGAGACTGTCCCAAAATATCAAAGGAGAGACATAGGCCAGAATATAGAAGCAGATACAATTATAGACAGTCTTCCACAGATAGATATAAATATAGAAGCCCACCAAATTACAGAGAAAGTAGAGGGGGTAGAGAAAATTCAAAAGAGAGAAAATCTGGTTCACTGAATGGACTAAATAAACAAGACAGCACTAAAACACAACAAAATGAGAACAATAATTGGCTTATCGATTCTGGGGCAACCAATCACACCACTAATAACAAAAATATTCTGTCTTCATTTACAGAAGATAAGTTTGTAATAAAGGTAGCTAATCAAGAAAAGGTTCAAGTATTAGGCAGAGGAAACATAACATTGCCTGGTCTAGGAAAAATAGAGGGGGTATTGTTAATTCCTGAAATACCTCATAACATACTAAGTGTCATAAAACTAAGTAGAGATTCTGATATCAATATAGTTTTCTCAAAGGGGAAAGCAACTTTAGAGAAGGACAAAACAAATGTAGGTACTGTGATGATTAAAGGAGGCCTACCCTATCTGGTAACAAAAGAAAGATGGTTACATAACATTGGCTCAAATATGGAAGATTGTATTGAGGCAGATGATGAAAATGTTAGTAACAGTGACAATGATGAATGTGAAATATCTCATGATCACACAAATACACACAAAGAGAAGAAACCAAGAATAGGTAAACCAATTCATGATGAGTGTGCTCACATCTTACATAGGAAGTTAGGACATGCAAGTTTTCCTGTAGTACAAAAAATGACTGAACACGCAGAAGGTGTCAAAATAAAAAATTGTGAAAATTATTTGGAATGCTCAGTATGTAAATCCACTAAACTAAAAACTAGTCCCAGACCAAAAAAATCCAACAGAACAACTAACAAAATTTTTGACTTAGTACATATGGACTTAGTTGGTCCATTAACTCCATCAATCACTTATAGAAAACGTTACTTCCTAACAATAGTAGATGACTACAGTCGCTATGGTTTTGTTTACACATTAAAACACAAGGATGAAACCTTTCAGAAATTTAAGGAATTCTACAAACGCATAGAAACACAACATAATATCAGAATAAAACAAATTATGACAGATAGGGGATGTGAATTCATGTCTAAAGAATTCTCCCAATGGTTAAAGGATAGAGGAATGCTACACTTCACATCTAGTCCATTTTCTGCATTCCAAAACGGGATTGCAGAGAGAAAGAATTCCACACTACAAACCATGATTAGGTGCACATTAGAGGATGCTGGTTTAGGCAAACAATTTTGGTCAGAAGCCTTACATTATTCAAATTACACTCAAAATAGAACCTGGTCCAGTATTGTGAATAAAACACCATATGAGGTGATGTATAATAGGAAACCCAAATTAGCACACATGCACATATTTGGAGTCACTGCAGACGTACACATACCTAAGCAGTTGAGAAGAAAGGGAGAAAACGTATCCAGAAGATTAAGATTTATGGGATATGAAACTGGCACCAAAGGGTACAGATTCATTGATAATAATAACAAATTTATAGTCTCCAGAACAGCTGTGTTCCATGAACAAGCCAATTGGTCTAAATTACATCTTAATGAAATATTTCCAGATAAATGCAAAGATACAAAATCTTGTGAGGAAGGAACAATAGAAAATCAAAATATCAACAAAAATACAAACAAAACCAAAACTTGGACAAATAGTCAGCACAAAATAAAGACAGACACATTAACTAAAAAGGAAGCAAGATATTTGCATGACAACCATAGCAAACCTGAAAGAGCTATTAGAAACAATAGAAATCAAATACCAGGTAAATACAGAGATTACATAATGCATATGGATGGTGAACAAATAACACCTAATACATATGAGGAAGTATTAAAACTCCCTTATGAAGAAAAAGAAAAATGGGAACTAGCTATGAAAAAAGAGATGGAAAGTTTGCAAGGATTAAATGTATTCACACCTGCGACTGCACCTAAAGATAAAACAATCATAGGTACTAGGTGGATTTATAAAATTAAAAATCTAGAAGGAGGCAATACTCTATACAAAGCCAGATTAGTTGCACAAGGTTATGCACAAAAATATCCGGAGGACTATACTGACACATACTCTCCCACAGTGAGAACAGAGAGTGTTAAAACAGCTCTGGTAGTGGCATCTGCACTCAATCTTGATGTATTTCAATATGACATACAGACTGCGTACTTACACGCAAAACTAGATAAGGAAATATATGTAAGGGCACCACACAGTCAATACACTAATAAGAATGAAATCTGGCT